AGCCTCCGCGCGTGCCTGGCCTCGCCTTCTCGCGGGGGGGCGGACGTGCCGCAGTGAGCGCTTGGCACTGGCCCAAGTCTTTCCTGCCCTGGCCAGTCCACAGCCAGCCCGGGAGCTCCCGGCCCCCCAGGGCTGAGCCAGGCTGGAGAAATGCCCCCCGCGATGTCTCTGAGCGAGCCCTGGGCCCGGGCTACTCAACCTCGGAAGCCCTGGGGGCCACAGTGACACAGCACATGCCATGGTGGCTTTTACATGTAAATGTATGCAAATGTATGCATAGCATGAAACCAAAGGTGCAGGCGAGACTGCCCAACACGCAGGCCCCATTGAAGTCAGTGCAGCGTCCCCCGATTCCCCGCTGTGTGAGCGCTTGGCGTGAGCAGTGCCGGGCCAGGAGTGGAACTGCTAACGCGCGGATCAGCAGGAGACCACACTGCTGACTCGCCTTGCGGGCCGTGTTCCCGGGGCAGCCATGGTGAGCCCCACATGCACCCGAACCGCACCCGGGCTGCGTGTTGAGTAGCCCTGCCCTGGCCTTCCAGCTGGCGAGACGCCCGGGACGCGGAAGGCTGCTCCTCCTACCCTGGCCCCCAATCTTCTGGTGCTTTGCTGGTTCCTGGCAGCGCCGTGTGGCTTGCTGAGGGCTGGCGAGCTGCGAGCTCTGCTCCGGGGTCTCTGGGGAGTGGAGAGGAGACCCATCCTCGCAGCCCAGAGCGTGGGGCTACGGCCGGGGCCGGGTACGGAGGGGAGCTGGCTTCAGGTGGGCCTTGGGCAGTGGCGCTCAGGCAGGGTCGGCGGTTCTGCCCCTGCACACACGAGAACAGTCGAAGCTAGGAGAATGGGGATTGCTTTGGTGATGCCCACAAGGGAACCAAATATCAAGTTTCCAAGTACAGCTGCTGCTTTGCTTAGTGCATTCAAAAAGCCAAAGCCAGTTGCCCTAAAAGAGAAAAAAGAACAACATTAAACATACTTGAAAAATTAAAGCCTTTGGGGGCAGGGCCACAACTGGGATAAAACAGAGCAGCTCCTTTGACTTCAGCAGAACCATCCCAACAGTTCTGTTCCCAGTTCTGTCCAGTTGGCTTACCTGATCAAACAATACCTTGTGGAAATGCTGATGTGACCTCATCCTCATATAATAATGAACACAAAGACTTTGGGCATGTGTGATGTAGTGAGGTGTGCTGTACACTTTGGTTGGGCATTCACTGGTCGCTATGCGTGGGCTGTGGGTGACCCCTGCTGGCCTGCGTCTGTAAGCACGGCCCAGCGGAGGGGGGCCTGAGGCCCCTCAGCTCACAGTGACCCAAGCGGTTGGTATCTGCCGAGGGATGGGGCTGAACAAAGGAAGGGAGGGGTTGGGAGCAGAGGCTGGGCAAACGGGGAGAAGGGACTGAGCGGAGGGCCGGGAGTCCAGGGGCCTAGGCACCCTGCCCCAAGGGGTCTAGGGCGGCCACGTCACGTCTGTGCTGGGCGGTGTCCTGGAGGAGCGATGACCCCTCTGCTCTACCGGCTGGGGGGGGGGGCGG